TGCAACAATTCTTTACCAAGAAATACGTTTATGAAAAAATTTTGGAAAATGGGCGTGGCACCGCCCACTTATGATCACATATATTTATATCGGTAACCGTTCTACCAAATTGTACCAAACTCGGTATTTTTATTGTGCTTGCCACATAAAAGCAAAACGTTGAAAATTATTGAAATCGGACTAAAATTACGGCCGCTTTTCATATTACGGTCAATTTCTGAAATGTTTGAAACTTTCCATATTTTGAAATTTAAGGACGCTAATTTACTCAAAATTGATACAGCCTGGCTTACCATCTAGCGGCAGCTTTCGGAAAGGTGAAAAAACATATATTTAATACTTGCGCCGGGTATATAATGTTCGGCTCCACCCGAACTTAGACTTTCTTACTTGTTATTATTATTATTATTGGAAAATGGCACGTGGCACTTCCCATACAAACCGAATTTTTCATACTGCATGGGCCTGAGCACACTAGCCTGCTCAGTCGGACTAAGCAGTCCACCACTCGAACGCACACTGGACTGGGCAGTCGGCCGAAAACAGGTTTCAGTTTTGTTCCTCTTATCCACACAAAACCGGTTTAGGCGGACTGAGCAGTCCAGTGTGCGGAGGCCCCATATCTCTGGAAATGCTCATGGTAGAGTACTGGAACTTGGCATGGAGATATATAAAATCAATCGCATACCCTTTCCGAAAAATTCGAGCTATTCATATTGGATATTTATGGAAGCGTTCATAGTAAAATTTTTGAACTTGGTACGGAAATATTTGAAATCAATCACATACTCATGGAGAAAAATTGGAGTTATTGGAAAAGCGGCGTGGCACCTCCTATACAAACCGAAATTTTCATAATAAATATCTCTGAAAGTATTCATGGTAGAGTACGTGGCACCTCTCATACAAGTCGAATTTTTCTTATTGCATATCTCTAGAATAGTTCTTGGTAGAGTACTGGAACTTGGTGTGGAGATATACGAAAACAATGGAAAGGGGCGCGTTGCACCTACCATACAAGCCGAATTTCATACTGCATATCTCTGGAAGTGTTCATGGTACAGAACTGGAACACTTCGTATGGAGATATATGAAATCAATCCCTTACTTATTTAGAAAAATTGGCTGTTTGAAAAGAGGGCGTGACAAAGTACAAACGTACTGACTTTTACTTTTCTTTGAATGTGTATATATTTAATTCTTCTGTAGGTATATTTGTGATTGAAATCCTAAATGGCTGGAGGGATTTTAGCAAAGTTTTGTGTGTGTGTTTGAGTGGGTGTCTGGATAGTTGAGTTTCACAATTTAATACGCCAGTTGGCACTGGAGTTGAGTTATTACTAAAAATTGTTTATGATCCGCTTTGGCGAATATTCAAAACATGTATTGGAAAGATAAAGGCAATCCAATTGCAAAAAAAGAGCGCTGAGGTCGAGTTGTTACTAAAAATTTACTAGTGAGAAAAGGTGCTGTGAATGTCAGACTAAATCGACCTGTTGCACTATTGAGCATATCGAACTCTCGCGTGTTACGATTGGCCCAATGGATGTGAGTTGGCAATATTATTATGCGTCAAAGCTTCATTCGGAGACACCAGGGTTGGGTTCCGCAGTGGTAAACCGCAAATCATCACCTGTCAAAATACCTTAAAAGCCAGTTTCATGAAAGCAATTTAATGAACATTTTAATTTTTTAATAGAATTTAATATGTAAGCTGATAGAAAAAAATCATTTTTCAATTAAATTGCTTTCGTGAAACTGGGTTTTGAGGTATTTCATCTCAGTCTATGTATGTATATTGTATTTCTGTTGAACAAGGATATGCATCCATTTTGAAATTCCCACTAACTATAAGATAAAGTTTCTAGGGCACATTCACTATAGCTCCGGATCATTATTGCCACTTTTCATGGACGTAACACTTTCGTTCGGTTATTTAAGGCCACTAAACCATAGTCTTAGCCGATGAATGTGCCAGTGCAAATGTGGATTGTTGGAGAAAATGTTGGACCAAAATGTTTAAATTAAAAATCTAATTTTGGACGGGACGAAGTTCGCCGGTTCTGCTAGTATATAATATATATATATTAATTTTGGGCGGGACGAAGTTCGCCGGTTCTGCTAGTATAAGTATATCTTACTAATATTATAAATGTGAAAGTTTGTATGTTTGGATGTTTGGGAAATCATCACGCGGAAACGACTGAACGGATTTGCATGACATTTGGTACGCAGATAGCTTATGGGGCACATTGTTTAATAGGCTATTTTTTTAAAGAGTTGCCACCTGTTAAAAAGTTTAATTTATTTAATATGCGGGAACGACTGAATGGATTTGCATGAAAATTTGCACACAGATAGCTTATGACCTAGATTGGAAAATAGGCTACTTTTCTTAAGAGTTACCACCTGTTAAAAAAGTTTCATTAAATTAATACGCGGAAACGACTGAATGGATTTGCATGAAATTTTGCAAGCAGATAGCTTATGACCTACAGTGGAAAATAGGCTAATTTTTTGGAAGAGTTGCCACCTGTTAAAAAAGTTTAATTAAATTAATACGCGGAAACGACTAAACGGAGTTGCATGAAATTTTGCACACAAATAGCTTATGACCTAGATTAGAAAGTAGGCTACTTTTTTAAGAGTTGCCACCTGTTAGAAATGTTTAATTTAATTAATACGCGGAAATGAGTGAACTGATTTGCATGGAAGTTTTCACACGGATAGCTTATGAGCTAGGTTGAAGAATAGGCTACATTTTTTAAGAGTTACCACCTGCTAAAAAAGTTTAATTAAATTAATACGCGGAAGTCTGAACGGATTTGCATGAAATTTTGCAAGCAGATAGCTTATGACCTACAGTGGAAAATAGGCTAATTTTTTGAAAGAGTTGCCACCTGTTAAAAAAGTTTTAATTAAATTAATACGCGGAAACGACTGAACAGATTTGCATGGCATTTCGCACAGAGATAGCTTATGACCTATGTTGGAAAATAGGCTACTATTTTAAGAGTTATCACGTATTAGGAAAGTTTAATTAAATTAATACGCGTAAATGACTGAACTGATTTGCATGAAAGTTTGCACACAGATAGCTTATGACATAGACTGGAAAATAGGCTACTTTTTTAAGAATTGCCACCTGTTTGAAAATGAAGTTTTGCTCAAAGATGGTTTATGACCTGGACTGAAAAATAGGCTACTTCCTTAACCGGGTTTCCGATCAGAACGAAATTTAGTACACTTACTACGGATTTCGGAAGG